ATAAGATACACACAAATTATTAAACAACTGACTGCGGATTCATGTATAAGCTTTTCCTTCCTATATCACCTTTTCTTCATTTATATTTTAAGCTTTTTGTCAAATGCTTTATAGGACTGCTGAGGGCTATGTTCTTCATCCCTGCTCTTCGAGAAAATGTCAAAAGTTTTTTTGTTTGTTTTAGGGGAAATGTTTCACTTTCATTTTCAGCGTATCACAGTACTTCCATGAAAATGGAAAACAATAAGAAACAAATTATATTTCTGTTCAAATAAAAATCCTGGCAAAGTAATTTCAAAATTGTTGTTTGTTTGCCTTAAATGGAGGTTTCAACATCAACATGTGCCAGCATACAGCCATTATTTACTGTGAAGTACATCTAGTCACCATATCTTTCAGAACACAGTTTTCAGTACTACCTGTTGTTCACATTACTGGAATGATGGAGAGACCTGGCCTTTAACTTCCACCCTTACCAGTGGCTGAAGAAACAAAAGAAAAGAAGATCCCAAAGAGCTTATGGTCTAAGAATAAAACAGGAGACAAGGGAGAAGAGGTAGCTGACAAAGGGGCTAGTGAGAAGGCTTTGATCAGAATTACAGACATATGATCAAGCTAAGCATAGTCACATTTTATGATCCTAAGGACCAGTTTTAAGCCAAGGAGTGATTCATTTTTCAGTAGGTGACATTCTCTCATCTTCTTTTTAAATAAGACACGTTAACACAGCAAAGAGCTCTTTGCCACTAATTGGGGTGTATATTTTGAGAAGAAACAATACTGAATTTCTCAGCTTTATTAAACACTAAAGAAAAGAGGTCCTAATGTCCTTGTGCCCCAGACACATGGACCCTGTGTCTGGGATCCAAGTTTAGTCATCATACATATTTGGTGGAAAAGCATCTCCATAAATGTCACTGCTGAGAATTAACAACTTGAAGATTGGGAAGTCACTAATTGCATGGCAATAAGCTTAGGTTACAAGAGAGTAAATTCAGATATAACACTGATATAAAGGTGATGCTGCTGAAAGGGTTGATAACATATAACCTTGGTGCTTCTCAAAAAATGTTTTCTTTTAACAATTTTCTTCACTTAACAGTTACTCATTTCAAAATGCCCCCCTCTAACTGTGTATAATCTGCTTTCGTGCAGTGCAGAGGAAATTTATTCCTTTGACACATTTATTCTTTTAATGGTTATTCATTTGAGAGAGTTTCACTATGTGAATGTACATTTTAGTTTGGTGCAAAAGAAATTCATCGTTTTGACAGTTTTATTCTTTTAACGTTTGTTCATTTAAATAGTGTTTCAGTCTGCAAAGCTGTTAACAAGAAAACTCTAGAAAGAGGACACTGCAGGTTAAATAAGTCCATCATGTTGGATGCTGCAAAGGAGTACAGCATGTTCTCCTCAGTAATGTGGCACTTACATAAAAACTTCATTTATTTTTACAACTTAACCAAAAAATGCCTTAGAAAAGCAAGGAAAAATGGGTGCTACAATAGGTTTAAGTATGCTCCATTAGAGGTGGCTTCATAACGATTGCATGTTAATTAACTGGCAGATGATTCTTCAACTGCATCTTTTCATTGTAGAACATTCAAACCAGTGTTGCACAGTGACTGTTTTTATTTTTTTTATTTTTTTTATTTTTTTTTTTTAAATCCAGAAGCCAATTCTATTTATTATCTTTTTGACATGTAAAGATTAGGTCTTAGTTTAAACTAATTCATGTCTCCAGTCAGTAGAGTCTAAACAATCTTCCTCATTGTTTAGACAGTTATGTTTGGATGGGATAAGCCACACCAAAGATCTGCATTCACTGGAGAAGGAGTTTGGACTACAAGCTCAACCTGGATGACTTGTTTCCCACTAGCTAAAGTTAAACTGCAAAGCAATTCAATCATCAGATTATACAGAAGTCAAGAGCTTTCAGCAGACAGTAACTATGAAAGATACATTTAGCATGTATGTAGAGGGAAGGAAGGAAGGAAGGGAAGGAGGGAGGAAAAAGTCAAAGGCACCATGTTGAACAGATGAACACAACTTTACTGGAGAAAGATATTTAACACATTAGAAATGTCCCCAATCAGTCTGGTAAGTACCACAGATTAAAGGGCACTTACATCATTTCCCACAGTGTAAATCAGAAGCAATTCATAAGATTTCTGTGTTTGCACCATTTAAGAGAAAAAAACAAAATTTGGCTTCTGTTCTCTAAAGGGAGATTTAGAGTTCAAAAAACACTACACAAATGAATTTTGAAATTTTATGTGAACTTCTAGGATCTAGTAAAAACTGTACTTCCATTGAACTCAAGCTGCTAATAATCAACATGGCAAATAGAGAGGACTGCGTACATTTACTTAAATTATTTTTCTTTGTATAGTTCAAAGGCACAATGCTACTCCGTAAGTAAGCTGAACAGCATGTAATAAGGCCTTAACAGTTCATGTCTCACAGTCCATATCTACCAATGACCTCCATATTGCTATATGGAAGAAAAGAGAAAGTTTGTATCTTAGGACATATTTAATCAAATAAAGAATGCAAGCGTTACCTGCTTACAGTAAATAAATTCAAGACATTAGCCATTTTAGGAGCTTCATTAGAGATACTAAGTAAGATAAAAGAAATTATACTGTTCCAACGGAACAATTAAGATTGCTGAAGTTTTACAAAATATGATAACCCAGTTCACACTGATGATGGTAGTTATTCCTTTTAAAGAATTGCTCATTAAATCAGCTGCTCATATGTGCTTTCAAAGCCATAATGGTGGTCTCAATTTTTAAAGAACTATGAGTAGTATTGTTTCCAGCATTTTGAAAGAAATGATAAGGGGTGTCTAAGGATGGTTACTCTAAAATTTCAGAAAATTTTCTCCCTGGTAAAGAATACAAGAATAGATTTACAAGAACTGAAACGTTCTAAATCATTAATGACCTGCTGAATCAGGTGGGTACCCTAGTGATGGAGGATATGAAGAAGGCAGAGTTACTCAATGCCTTCTTTGCCTCAGTCTTTACTACTAAGGCTGGCCCTCAGGAATCCCAGACCCTGGGTGTAGGGGAAGAAGTCTGGAGAAAGGAAAACTTTCCCTTGGTTAGAAGGATAGGTTAGGGATCTTTAAGGTAAACAAGGTACTCAAATCCATGAGCCCTCATAGGATGCGCCTGAGAGTGCTGAGGGAGCTGGCAGAAGTCGTTGCTAAGCCACTCTCCAGGGTGAACAGGAGAGGTGTCTGAGGACTGGAGGAAAGCCAATGTCACTCCAGCCTTTAAAAAGGGCAAGAAGGAGGTCCTGGGAAACTACAGGCCAGATAGCCTCACCTCCATCCCTGGAAAAGTGATGGAACAGCTCATTCTGGCTGTCACCTCTAAGCATGTGGAGGAAAAGAAGATTATCAGGAGTAGTCAATATAGATTCACCAATGGGAAATCATGCCTGACCAACCTGATAGCCTTCTATGATGGCATAATTGACTGGGAGGATAAGTGGAGAGCAGTGGATGTTGTCTGCATTGACTTAAGCAAGGCTCATATCACATCCTCATAGGTGAGCTTGGGAACTGTGGGATAGATGAGTGGACAGTGAGGTGGATTGAGAAAGGGCTGAAGCACAGAGTTCAGAGGGTTGTGATTAGTGGTGCTGAGTCTAGTCAGAGGCTGCAGCTAATGGTATTCCCCAAGGGTCAGTACCAGGTCTGGTCTTGTTCAATGTATTCATCAATGACCTGGATGAAGGGACACAGTGCCCCCTCAGCAAGTTTGCTGATGACACAAAACTGGGAGGAGTGGCTGACACACCAGAGAGCTGTGCTGCCATTCAGTGAGACCTGGACAGGCTGGAGAGCTGGACAGAGAGGAACCTAATGAGGTTCAATAAGAGCAAGTGTAGGGTCCTGCACCTGGGGAGGAATAACCTCATGCACCAGTACAGGCTGAGGGTTGACCTGCTGGAGAGCAGCTCTGCAGAGAAAGAACTGGGAGTTCTGGTGGACAGCGAGTTGACCATGAGCCAGCAATGTGCCTTTTTGGCCAAGAAGGTCAATGGTATCCTGGGGTGCATTAAGAAGAGTGTGGCCATCAGGTTGAGGGACGTTCTCCTCCCCCTCTACTCTGCCCTCGTGAGGCCACATCTGGAGTCCTGTGTCCAGTTCTGGGCCCCTCAGTTCATGAGGGACAGGGAACTACTAGAGTCTAGCTAGAGAGGGCTGTGAAGATGATGAGGGGACTGGAGTATCTCTCTTATGAGGCAGGTCTGAGAGACCTATATCTGTTTAGCCTGGAGGAGAGAAGACTGAGAGGGGACCTTATAAATGTCTGAAGGGAGGGTGTCAAGAGAGTGGGGCCAGGTTCTTTTCAGTGGCGCCCAGTGACAGGAGAAGGCACAGCAGGCTCAAACTGGAACACAGGAAGTTCTAATTCTCCTTCCCTGGAGATACTCAAAGCCCACCTGGATGTGATCCCGTGCATCCTGCTGTAGGTGAACCTGCTTTAGCAGGGGGAGTTGGACTACGTGATCTCCAGAGGTCCCTTCCAACCCCTGCCATTCTGTGATTCTGTGAAATTGTAGATACATACTATTAATATTCTAAGATTTTACTTGAAGTCTGAAATATGTCTGGTTCCCTGGCATTTGATTTTGGGTTGTCTATTAAAAAACACGTTAATAAGATAATTCCTGGTTTATCTCTTAGATGATCTGTACATTGAAATTTTGACTAATCTGCAGAAGACATAGTGCTTAAGCAGCCTTCTATCCCAATGTAATTTTTCTTCTCATTTTATGCTTTGTTTGAGTTTACCAGCTTGACTATGGAATTCTCTGAAATGAAACTTGAGCAAAGTTTCTTTACCACAGTGCTATGTTTGTTATTTCTGTTCTGAATCAACAGTCTTATGTGTTCTGCAGCAACTTATTACTGTGGAGAAAACTTCAATGACTTGGACATTCTGTTTTGGTTTGTGTTTTTTTTTCCTTCTTGCTCACAGTTCCAAAGACACCTCCAGCTAACGTCAGTGGCAGAAGTGGAAGGCGACATGAATTAGTAATAGCATGGGAGGTAAGGGAATTTTCTGACTAAAGGTTTTGTTTCATGTTTACTTCTTTGAGGGCAAAGTAAAGAGTACTGTACTGGGGTTTCCTTACAGCAAATCTTGGCAGGACACGAACACAAAATACTGTTCTTTAAATACGTTCTAAGGTTTCAAATAATGTGCATTTCCATGTGGTTTGAACAGGTGACATTACAGCAGTAGGTTCAAAGTTTTGCTAGTTCATAAGTCTTGTCTTCCTGATCTACTGCTTGGGTTGATTTGACTTTTCTGGATCGTACATAAGTGCTACATTAGATGAAATAATACTAACAGAAGAGAAGGAAAACCTTGTAATATTTTTTTTTAAGTGTTGCATAAAAAAGACCTGAAATAGACCTTTATTTTGACAAGAAATTTGTGACGCAAGATGCAACACAGATGTATGACTGTGCCAGTGGACAATTGGAGGAGTGGGAGTTGCTTTCTCTGCTAATCATAAATAACACAATAGAAGAGAGACTTTTCTTGAGGAGTTTTAAAAACTTTGAGATTCATCATGAAGAGTTTCAGATTCAGAAAATATACATAAATATATATATATATATATGTATGTATAAAACTAAGAAAAATTCCATCAAATAAAGACACAGGTTTTTAATGAAAAAACTTTTAGCCTAGCCAAATTGAGGACAGATTTGGATGGTAAGAGACACACAGAATTCTGACTAACTGCTTAAAATAGCAAATTTTAGGGCATCTGAAGAGGCTCTCTTCTGTTGACATGTCTGCCTTTTCTCACAGCAGCTACCTGACACAGCTGAAACAGAGATTATTTCAGTTTGCTTTATAGTCTATAATGATAAACAGCAGCATCTCTCCTATTGGGAAATAATTTACTGATCTCAAAAAAAGCCATCAGGTGGCTAGAACTGTATCTTATGTAAACTGGCCTAATCCCAGTCCTTGCTACAATATATTAGTATGTAGTACTCATATTAAGCGTCTTTATAGTGTTCCCCAGGTGACTGGAGTGGGGCACTACTGGAGTGTGTTACATCTCCCTCTCTGTCAAGGGTTCAAGTTTTCTTTCAAAAAAACCCAGAGACTCATAGGTATCCCTTCCTGCAATACAGATACAACAGACATTTAAGAATTAGCAATTCCCATAACATAACTTTCAGTATATATTGACTTATTTCCACAAAAGCCAGCTGATGCTTCTTCACTTATAGCTAAGGAGCGCAAACTGCCATTTTTGTCAGTCCTTCCCCTTTGTTTCTGATTGACTCTTTATTTCCATCAATACCTAGTGGTGTTCTTCCTAGTGTTAGTACTTTCAGCCCAGTGTTGTTTCACTCTTGAACTGCCTAAAGTCATTAATCAAATTAAGATTACAAGAACATCACAGTATTTCATTTGTGCAAAATATAGATCGTGAAGTGAGCATATTTACATTTTTTAATTGTTTGAAAGATTGCTACCATTCCAAATTATAGTCACTGTCTCTTCAAGAAATGGCAAAAAGATAGAACAAAAGACACAAAACCATGAAATGAAAAGTGAGTGTTGAAATTTCTGCTAAAGAACTAACCCTAGTGCATTGGATAACACTCCAACAACTCACTACAAACTACTGTGCTGTCTGGTGTAGCCACTGTGTTTCTATAAGGCACAACCACAGTGTAAGTTAGCATAACTCCAGCATAGTCAGTCTGTGCTTTTGTAGGATCCGAAAAAGTCTTATCAGACTTACACAGGCAATAGGAATAACAAAGTACTTTGAAGCGATACTGAGATGGTATTTGGGTCTCTGGGAATTCAGGAAAAGAATAATCTACCTAGGGTCCTGAATTATAGTCAGCAGGTTCAACTAAAATTTTATTCACACAACTTTAATTCACAGACCATGTGTTTAGCATCTGTAGTGAAATCCCAGGGTTCTACTTCTCTTGCATTTCTGGCTTTTTCAATAGCAACTGCCTACTGCAAACTCCATAGGTATAACAGAGATGCAAAGCTCCTCCTTTCCAACTCAAATCGCTAGATTACAAAGTCTGTCTTGTTTTTGCCTCCTCTGCCTTTGGAGTCATGATTTTTTTTTTTTCTTGGATACATAGTGCACAGCTTCAGAAGAATGGGTAGAAAATGGTGTCTACAGGTGAGGTGCCTGGTGATGAGACACTCACTTGCAATGTGGAGGGGGGAGGATTTGGTGTCCCCTGTGCCTCTGCACTGATTCATGTGTTCATTAGCTGCAGATCTAGGATGGGCACTTCAAGAGAGGGTGATTAGATACCCCTTTTTTTTGGTATTTCCCATAGGCCTAATACACTGACAGTTGTTAAACATAGCCTAATTCCTAAACTAGTCCATTGACTTTATAAGAAATGTAGGCAGTAAATTAGCATGAAAAATTCCATTCCTTGAGCCGGACATGTAAAATTCAGCTTTTGCAGTGCTCAGCCTCTCAACAGATAAATCCCTTTGCTGACTGCCTGCTTATGGCAGATGTATCCCAATTTAAGTGGCTAATTTCACAGATCCTCAGAGAACAGAAAAGTAAATGAGATTTTTTTTTCACAAAGGCTCAGATTGAGTTAGAACAACTAGGTTTTTTACATCATATGCTGTCTCAAATTGAACCCTAGATTTAAATCACAGAATCACAGAACAGTAGGGGTTGTAAGGAACCACCGGAGATCATCCAGTCCAACCCCCCTGCTAAAGCAGGTTCACCTCCAGCAGGTTGCACAGGAATGAATCCAGGCGGGTTTTGAATGTCTCCAGAGAAGGAGGCTCCACAGCCTCTCTGGGCAGCCTGTTCCAGTGCTCTGTCACCACACAGTCAAAAAGTTTTTCCTCATGTTGAGGTGGAACTTCCTGTGCTCCAATTTGTGCCCCTTGCTTCTTATCCTGTCACTGGGCACCACTGAAAAGAGCCTGGCCCCATCCTCTTGACATCTGCCCTTTAGATATTTATAAACATTGATAAAGTCACCTCTCAGTCTGCTTTGCTCTTCTTCAAATCCCTAAGACTTGATACACCACTTGGATACAGAAATTAGACAGGCTGGCACTTAAAACCCAAGAAAGTCCTACTGTGGTAATTGTCACTCACATCATATTTTAGGATCCTGTACCAATATGTTGCTCTACTTTTTTAACAAGGTCACTGGATGGTGCTATTCCACTAATAGACCACCTGTTAAAGCATTAACCACAAAGTGGGAGATACAGAAGAAAAAATCTTTCTGAGCCCAATAGCTTATTCAATCCTAGGACAGCGACCTAACTATGGTGATTACATGAAGGAAATCTCTTACAACATTCCTCTTCACAAGCAGTTGGCCCTATGTGTTCCCAGGCATGATAAGTAAAATCTTATAATGCAACTGTAAGGGATCACTCTCATAGAAGCAGGCCAGATTATAGTCAGCCACTGAGTGACTGCTTTCTAGATTAGTAAAACCACATCTGATCATTACCTGAACTTTATTTTTCAGCCAGTGTCAGAAGAGTTTCAGAATGGAGAAGGATTTGGATACATTGTAGCCTTCAGACCAAATGGAACACGTGGCTGGAAGGAAAAAATGGTGACATCTTCAGATGCCTCAAAGTTCATCTATAGAGATGAAAGTGTGCCACCTCTGACTCCTTTTGAGGTGAAAGTTGGTGTTTACAACAACAAAGGAGATGGTCCCTTCAGCCCTATTGTGGTCATCTGCTCAGCTGAAGGAGGTCAGTTCAACATGAAGTTAACTTGTATATTATGAACCGTATTAACATATTTTTATATAATATGTCCTATTATACCATGCTTTTTCAATCTTAAATTTCAAAAATGTTTGCAGAAGTGCTAAGTAACATTAAAGGTAGTCTTAACTTTAGACTGGGCAACTCTAAAAATTAGTAAAAAAAGGCTGATATTTTCTAGTGTTTCTAAGGTTCATGATACTTTTTTTGATAGGTTAATCAGACGACAGCTCAAAGACTAAATAAATTGACTTATGAGTGTTCATTTCCTGGTTAGTCAATAATAAAAGTACATAGAATGCAATTATGTTCTTATTTTTATTATTTATTTCTGTTTTATTTCTTTTTTAGTTTGTTAGTATAAAGTTTTGAATTTATGTTAATGTCCAAATATTAAATGTGAATTATAAAAATCGTTCTGAAGAAAAAATGAAATTTATTTCCTGAAAATTTCTGTATCAACTTGATATAACTCTCAACAGTATTTTGTGAAAAAAAGACTAATTTGTACTAATAAAAGAGGTTGTTCTGCATTAATAGGAGCCATTGTATGAAAATTTCCGTATGAACAAAAGGTAGATAAATGTTATCCATGGGAATATTTTGAGCAGCTCCATTACTGGAAATCACAGACTTCAGTTCTTTACTATTCTATCTTTGAGTTATCCCACTGCCTCCTGATAAGAGAATAAGTACAGTCCTAGTACAGATGGGAGGAATTTCATACCATCTCTGCAACAATGCAGTATGAGGATAATGGTATTTCATGTGAAGCTGGAACACATTAAATGTTATTCCATATTAGCCAGCAATAAATGTGCAATTTTGGAGCCATGATGTATCAGAGATTATCTGCTACAATTCTCTCACAGTGATTATAGAGGTTAGAAATGCTGTTTTTGGTAAAAGCAGTTCCAGTAATTTGTTTGTGTTCCACTGTTTGGATGACTTTACCAAGTATACTTATTATTATAAAAACAATTACGCTTTAAAATGTAAAAATTGACCAGTACAACTTGGAAACTTCACAGTTGATTTCCCTGTTCCTCAATGGAAAATGATGCTGTGAGACTGATGATGACGCCTTCATTATTTAACAATTTCACACCCTAATCAGAAAGTTAAATAAAAATGGAGTTCTGCAAGGGAAGAGAGGCAAAACTTTAATGGATTTTTTTTTTTGAAATATGAAAAGTTATTTTAACAAAAGCTGAATGCTGCATTGTAATAAGTAGTCCTTTGTTTGTTATTTGGGCAAGACTGGAAATGAAATAACCAGTAATATTTAAATCAATTATTCTAACATTTCTTTTAAAACATCAACTTTACAAATTATCTTAATGAATCATTAAAATTAACTTTCTTTCTATGCTCCCAGAGACTATCTCTAGAAATCAACTTTTCTGATTATAATTCAGTTACTTGAAAATACCTCCCCATCGCAGCTTTGCTATTCCAGTGTCTGAATGTGTCTTTACATTAGACTTTCCTTTCCTAAGAGGAATTCTGTGGGGATAGATACTTTCTAAAACTTTTATTTGAGGGAAAAAAAAATGGGATGCTGTGACAATACAGCGCAAACTTAATTCATAAAAAGCTTTTCTCCAGAGTAACACTAGGTGGTATACTGAAAACTTAAAGGAATAACGAAACAATTTATTACAGCTAAGTTTTGGGCAACATGGAGACTGAAGACAATAGCCATTTCAGTTTGCTATGAGAAAAAGGGGAACCGGGTTTGAAAAAGGCATGGACTTTTACACATAAGGAGCTAAACAACTGAAGACAAAATTTCTCAAGGATTTCTATTGAAGAGGAAATCTTAAATAAAGATTAACAGTACAATGTATTACGGTCTTAGGGCTGATCCAGCAAACCCTTAGCTTACTTGCTTTTCATCACACACTCAATTCACTGCTCTGCAAACATCTAGCATAAAGGCCTAGGACAAAATTATTAAAAGTTAAGGAAACTTTATGTTACATATTAAAAGATTTCCCACATCTACAGACTATCTACAATTGTTTACTGGTATAACAATTTTGTCTAAAAGCTAAAACCTGTTGCCTTTGCTAAGCACACAGGAAAAAATCCAAGAGCTTGCATAGGACATGCTGGACAAGGAAGAAATTCTTCATTTATTGAGAATGAACGCATTTCTCTTTTCTGTATGACAATGACTGCACATTGTGTGCTCTCTCAACATTCAAAGCCTATTTGTGATGGCTCTGTGTTATGCCTGGGCAAGCAGCTTGGCAGGTGATATTAAGATATTCTTCTCTGAAAACACAACTAATTGCCCTCTGATTACACAAACTGTCTCTAATTGAAGCAGAAGTCTTTAAAAAATGATGCTTTTCTTAAAGAATCTCAGAAAACAGAAGAAAAATGAGTGCTTTTCCATAAGTAAATAGAGGGGCTAATCCTTTTATCTCTATCTCTAAGGCAGATATTTAGGAGATAATATGATACCAGTCGTTATTGAGGGATCAATGTTGGTGATAACCCAAAGTTGAAGGGGAGAAAAAGCTTGACTGTTTATAGATGTTTTAAGACATTTCTTCTCCTTTATTGGTCTTTTGACTTCATAGGAAACATCACCAGGATACAGCTCATGGGAAAGTCTCTCCATGAGCTAAAGATGCAGATGAATGTAATGGAAGAATAGAGAATAGAATGGAGAAGTAGATAAAAAGATTGTACAAAACTAGCTGAATAACCCAGGAGGGAAAAAAACAAATGTGACCCTCTGGAAAAGATGGCTTAATGCAGCAGAAGAGTTTGAAGGAGTCTTTCTTGGAGACCTTAGGAAAGGAAAAAAGCAAACAATCAAGGAAAGAAGAATAAAAGCAGAGGTCAGATGTTTTCATGAAGCAAAAGAGGTGATAAGAGCCAAGGACCAGTTCTGAAGAGGGAATGAGTATAATACACAGATGATGCAGGAAAAAAGATGTACAATTCTCTTCAATAAGAAGGTGGAACAGAAGGACACACTAGACATGTTCCAACACCAGGAAAAGACAAGCCCAAACCTTTCAAAAAGGAACCCTTTAATAAGAGAAAGAGGCAGAGGAGCACATGGAGAGCACAGTAAGCTAGACTGCCTGCCAGAAGAAACTTTGCAATGTGTAGGCCCGGGGGCTGAAAAGGAGTGTGAACAGAGCAGGGAGAAATCTTCTGACTGTACTTTCTGCCAGGAAAATAATAGTATCAGAGTCATGCTAGAACATACCGAACCAAAGCACTGAACTGCAGTGCAGGCACAATTATTTTGATCCATAGACAATAAAAATTGTAAAGGCAAAACATATTGAAAATAAAACAATGAACACAAGCAGTGTAAAGCACTATTTGTTCTAACATTTATGTATTCTTTGGAGATTTTTCTTGATGACTTCATTCCGCTTAAATACTGAGGTGTTACAATGCCAAGCCTACTAATATAATCTTTCAGTGTCAGGGAAATCATATGCAGTCTTTATGTGTGGTTTTAATTCACTGGAAGACAAAAACTGGGAAAATCGGAAATATAGCAATGGAGAAGGAAATATAGAGCATAAAGGCATGATTGCAAGAAGATGGAAAAGGCTGTAGTGAGAAGAGTGATGGACAGGTAAGCTTGCATTAGCAAGGATGACTAGATAAAGTACGAGCTACGTAGCAAAGACAAAATGAAAGTAAAAGTGGTTGGATATCATAACATGCTGATGATGAGATAACGTATCAGGAAATACAAAACCAGTGTTTGGATAAAAGACAATATCCTCTGGTTCCATGTCATTTTGGAAAAGGGCAATTAAACAAACCAGGAGTCGAACCAGAGGTCAGTTGGTGATTGCCCTGATCCGTTTGGATGCTGAGAACGATCTTTCTAATTTTACATAAATATTACAGGACACTGTTATTTATGAGACAAATTAGCTGCTTAGAGTATTTTGGATAGTAAATACAACTAACGACCTTGTGTTCCAGCTGTTATAATTAGCAGATTCTTTACCCAGTACTGACTAATTGAGGAGAAATAATGGTATCATAGTCTGTTTTGATGAATAATTAAGACACTATAGAAAAGCTGTTCATAACAAATAACAGTGGAACAAGTCATCATTAAATAGCAGGAAATTGTTTAATAAGCTGGAATTAACAGTTAGGACAAGAAATTAAAGTGTTTTGGAAGGTCTCTGAGCCAATGACATAAAATCTACCTGAAGTTTATACTGCAAGAAATGGCACATTTCTAAGGCAATACATTACATCTGAGGATCTAGAGATGTACGCACTAAAAGATATTCAGAAATGCTTAGGAACAAAAAGAGCTTGTTTATTTTGTGCTAGTAAAAAAGGCTGTTTGGATAAGATGTTGTCTGCAAATCAGTGAAACTATTAGGGACAGTGAAGCGTTTTTAAAGGTAAAGAACACTGATGCTACATCTTCTTTTTAGCAAATAAAACACGCCAGCCGTTCTTTATCCTTGAAGCCAACTGGCCAAAAAGAGTTCACATCTGCAGACTTGAACACTGTTTCTGTCCAGACTGGCTGCATTTATACACCTCCTGGGAACCATGCCTGGCCAGGAACCAGCATATTCCTGGGCATATTTTGGGGCAGCACTAATTGGCCAGAGTCAATACTTCACCACGGATCATTTAATGATATGGACAACTGTACATCAATATTCAGGCTAGTGCCTTGTCTCTCTGTCCCTGTTTAGTTTACAAGTATAGACAAAGCCTATCAGCACAAGAATAAATATGAATTAGAAAACAGGTAGTATAGAGATAGGTGAGAATATAAAAGGAAATAGAAATAAGCTTCTGGAAGAAAGAGGGTACCCAACTGGTTTCAAGATGAGTTAGGTTTTTTATAAAGGTTTTTTTTTAATGATTGCCACAATAGGTCATTCAGAATCAGTTCTGTTAATTTCAGTATATATCTTCTTTAGGCACCTGATGAAATTATCTTCACAAAAATTGAAAGTTCTATAATTTTGATAAACAATAGTGAATACTGCTAAAAGCTTCTAGATATGGAATAGAGAGCCCTGAGCAGTACAAGGTAAAGCTTGAAGACTCTCAGTCTTGCTGTTTAAAACCTCCTGAGAGACACCAGATGCACTTCTGTAATACATACAAGATGTAATGATACTGCGCAGATGTTTTGTTCTTGCTTTGTATGGATTTGTATTAATTCACTGAGCCAATGGAGTAGTTATCCAAAAGGCGAAGGGCCATATAACAGCCTTTGCAATTTTCTTCCTTCATAATTTTAAGAAGTTTTGCATCAGGCCAGATAGTGGATGATGTGGTTTATTAATCAAGACATTGCAGAATGAAAGATGGTTCTGGTTAGGCCCGTCTCCCCTCACTTTTCACCCTGAGCCCTTATTCAAACAAACAAATAAATCACACTTTCCTTTTCATTTAGAGGAAGGAATACGCAATTACACACTTTTAAATACACCTTCCATGTCTTTAATTAAAATTCTACATCCATGAATTCATTTCATAGCTAAAGCTGAGCTTCTTGGGGTTTAGGTGAACCTGAAAATTAATAAATTGGCATATATTAGTTGTGAAATAATTTCCTGCTTCTACCAGCTGATCCATCTGGAGAGTTCAGTTAGAGTTGTCTCCACCGATTTTTTAAAGAATGAAATCACATCTTGACATGTAAGAATTTATTAAACAACCCTTTGATTAATGCCATTAGCCCCCATGGGAAGTCAGTTGTGTGATTGATATAGTAGGCACATCCCCTCCTCCTGTGCTGAGGATAACTCTGGCTGCCACATCACTTGGTGGAAATGAACCATTTATAAGGTGGCAATGCTTTTCTGAACTTTTAATCTAATAAAACCTGAATATTATTGGTCCACTAGTCCAACTTCTACTCACATGCCAATGTGAGCGAGCCATGTGTAAGTGACGTGCTGGTAAAGCCTTCATGGAATAAGGCAGCTCCTTAGGCCCATGTGATACTCCACTGTGTAATAATCTGCGTTATTCCATGGAGAAGGGAGAGTTGCAGCAGGATGTATACTGTGAACAAGTGTGCAGGAGAGCAGCGTTAGAGGAGTAGGCTTCAGAAGTTTTACGTGACAAGTAAGGATATTTCACCACTAAATAAAAGAGGTCCAGGGCAGAGGTCAGTACCGCAGTCCTGATCACTGCTTTACTGCTAGTTCATTTCCTCACTCTTCTAAGTTTTCTGTTTTAAAGTCCTCTGCAAAGACACTGGTAAGAGAGAAGGTGAAAACAGAAAGGACTCAAGGAAAAGTGAGAAGTCCAAGGGCCTGCCCAGGAAACAATCAATCATCTCATTTTTGGTGTTTTGGAAATCAGCCATCTTTTCCCTTTCTAGCACAAGATTCTGGAGGAAGTTTTATCCTGCAGGCTGCCATGCCACCAGAGATTTCATGGAGTCCCCACATCAGGAACATACATCAAGGCTGAGAGGTGAAGCTGAGCATAATGTCTCTTAGCTTTTCTCAGGAATGGAAACAGTTTACTGGAACGTCCTCTGATTTGGAAGATAGTCCCTGTGGCTATTTCCAACAAGGAAGCAGATGATACCATTCTTTACCTACAGGATGACACAAGAGGGACAAGTCCTCACAATTTTCCTTCTGATAGATCTCTTCTGTGGATTTTTCCACAGAAAGGAATTATCGGAGTCGTGGGTCCTGGCTGAAGTCCCAAAATCTCCACTATGTGGAACTGCCTGGAGTCATAATACAATTACCCAGGCTGAGGTTCTTAGTTCAAATGAAAGCACAGATTTTGAATTAGGGAAGTGCGTAAAAATCCCTTCTGGTGTCAAAATGAGAAATTAACAGATATTAAGTGATTGGATGAGGACTCCTGACTGAGGTTCTGTTCCACAAGACAGTTAAAACAACATAGGCCTTTGGACTTATTTTTTATGTTAATCATGCAGAAATCTTTAAGGATTAATATTTCAGAAAAAATAGATCAGTTTACGGTCATAGGGAGAACACAATGAGGGCTAACAACTAACTTTTCTTTTTCTTACTTTCCAGTACCAAAATTCAGGATTCCCTCTCTGAACATTAGATCAATGCAATAAGTGTTAACTCCTTGTCCTACTTTATTATAGCCATCCCAAAGACCTACAGATTGAACGTTTCCTTAAAGTGTGGTTGCAGCACATGCAAAGAAAATGTTTCACGGACATTGCACACAGCCATTTGAGAACTTGCTGTGCTATATCTTTAATTCAATCAGGGAATATTAAAGGGGCCATTAAAGACATTGGGCCCTTTTTTTTCAAGCAGTATGACCTCAGGCAGACACCTATAGGTTTAGCATAATGCCAAGACACTAACAAAAGAGTATGATTATAATATCAGTGACCATTATAGGAAAACCTAATGAACCTGTCAAACTTATCATTAGTTTCAGACACACAGAATGAAGCATGTCATTGGAGTGAACCATGGACTGTATTATATCATCAGAAATTATATGGTCCTCATCTTATCTGAATCAATAAAAAATGCTATTTAGTCTCCATAAACTTTCAGACAGTCACAATACACTTTATTCCTAAATATATAATTTTTGTTCTTTCAGCGAATGCTTACATTTTCAATGTCTAATATCAGTGAAACTGCAGTGAATAATTTCTGGATATGTAAGAAATGCATTTTCTTCACATAAAAAAATCCAAACTGTTACTACTCCATTTGTTGAAAACCATTTCAAAAATATCAGAAAATTTGCTGTGTTTCTATTCTGAGCAATACATAAACCACCCCTAGTGAATGCTATGAAGAGGAAATGATTTCTACATTTATAGAAAGTGTAAAGGCTGCCAACTGACATTTTGTGTACATCTCAAATAATTTATCCCACTGCAATCTTTTCTGACAACAAGGTAATTGCTTCAATAATGCAAAAAAAATAGAAAATAGCTTTTGCTACACAAATCTTGGTAGTACATAGAATAGAAAGCAGGGTGTCATTATCAAACAAAAAATCATATTATGAGGAATATATTTCTTCATAGCACAATTCTTTCAGTATTGAATTCAGAAGACCATTTCACATATTCCTGGAGATATTTTTTTTATTTGTTACCTGAAAAGCTCCATGCATATTTTATACTTACTACTAATACTTGTTGGTGAACACCATTTTGTGCATCACATCAGAACTGCTTCTTTTCCTTAGAAGTAAATAAAAAAGAAGATCAAAAAGACCTGCAAACATTAAAAATCTGACATCAAAAAGTGCAAAAAATTCATACAAGCCATGTCAGAGGAAAAGTGTAGGGCAGCAGTGCCAGAACAATGCCTGCAATACGATCAGAGAAAGGAGAGTAGCTAATGAGTCAAGACTGATATTAGACATCTTACTAAGGCAGTTTGATCACTGAGAAAAACATATCATTTTAACTCAGGCTGTTCTGTAAGGAAACTCATTTTCTGTAGCCCTATTAAATGGACCCCCCAAAAAAATTTTTTTAGAAAGCTCTTTGATGTGCCTCGCTATAACATAAAAGCCAAGACCTCTGCCTGCCCTTCAAGAACAGATCAACACATTAGAAATGTAATGAGGAACATTAGGCCAAGGAGGAAATAGCAGGCTCTGTGACTGCAGGGGAATGCAAATTCACCTTTTTGCTGAGCAAGTGAACTATACCAGAATGGTGGAGAAATACTGCTACTGTGTGCTTCGCTGTCTGTGCTCAAGCCTTGTCTCCACAACTGTGGCAACACTGTTGGTCAGGTCTAATATGCAAAGCATCCTGCAGCCCTAAGCCTCCAGTGTGCACCTCATACCAGAGATAAGATTTCATGCCCCGAACACTGGTGCCTGTGACTTCAAGGACGTAATGGCAGAGGTCTAAAAATTTATTTTATGTAGCATTTCACTACCACTCTGGTTACCACTTCTTACTCGATATAACCCTGGAGCAGGACTGACTGAGCACTCTAGCAAGGTATTGCTACTCCTGAGCTGACAGAACGGCACTAAAAATCTAGGAAGAGAATTAATGCTCTATTTACCGCCGAAGTTAAGCTGTTA